GATAGATAGATAGATAGATAGATAGATAGATATCAGTATAGGTAGGGCTAAATGTTCAATAGTTATTTACTCTCAGTTCTTTGACCAGGGTTGGCTTAATCACCACTCACTACAGAAACCAGCTTCTCTGACCAAGGCTGAGAACAGGGCTAATCAGTGGATACTGACATAAATATTTTAAAAACACATCTGTTTAAGATGGATGAAAAAATTCCCTTAAACTTGGGGTGATATACACACTAATGAGAGATCCTAGCATCAAGGCAAGGACTACAGCTTGTAACATCTTGGAAAAGTGAGTTTCTAAATAAATGAGTTCACTTTTGTATCTTAGCATATTCATCTTCAGAAAGCTCACTAGAGTATTTACTGCCTGTAGTGGCTATGAGGATTGTCAACCACCCTCAGTAAGCAGTTTGTACAGCAACAGACACATTGGAAGCTTGCTCTACCGCTGAACAAACATTTACTGTGAACCCATTATGTGTATGCACAGTTTGCTTGGAACTCTGCATCGAGTAGTAAACAGAGCAAAACCTTGCCTCTGGGAAGCTTGCAGTCTAGCAAAGAATACTGGTAATAAAGGAGAGCAACAGAACCAGAAAATTTGAACACAAGGGTCTTCCCAGAGACTCATACTCCAACCAAGTACCAGGCATGGAGATAACCTAGAACCCCTGCACAGATGTAGCCCATGGCAGTTTAGTGTCCAAGTGGGTTCCATAGTAATGGGAAGAGGGACTGCCTCTGACATAATCTGATTGGCCTGCTCTTTGATCACCTCCCCCTGAGGGGGGAGCAGCCTTACCAGGCCACAGAAGAGGACAATGCAGCCACTCCTGATGTAATCTGATAGACTAAGATCAGAAGAAAGGAGAGGAGGACCTCCCCTATCAGTGGACTTGGGGAGGGGCATGCATGCAGAAAGGGGAGGGAGGGTGGGACTGTGAGGGGAGGAGGGAGGGGATTATGGGGTGATACAAAGTGAATAAAGTGTAATTATTAAAATAAAATTTAATTTAAAAAAGATTAAAAATACAAAACAGAAGACATATGAACAAAGAACAATTAAGTCCTGTTACATAGTGATCTATAGGATGTCATTGAGAGAACCACAAAGATGCAAAACGTTAACAGCTTCACATTAGACAAAATGAGTCGGTGTCTGAGTTTTCAATTTTCACGTAATCCTCCAAAACTAAGTTCCAGGAAAAGGGCCTGGTGGACTATGTTATCTCAAGTGTTACATATCTTTTTCAGAATCTCTTTTTTATGGGAAATACAGAGGACTTGCTCTAAGAAAGATAATTAATGGTCACACAGACATTCAAGGCAAAGTGTCATTCTTCAAACAACCTAGTTTCCTTACTCTACTTGGATGTTGAAAAGTCATTATAACTCACTGTCTGATTTGAATAAACACACAGACAAACAAATAAGCAAACACACCCACTCCCTCACAGGCAGTGAACCCAGCAGTGTAGGCAGGATGAATATCCCCTAACTTAGCATCCAAACAGAAGCTAGAACATTGAAAGCAACACAGTGAGTCTCCTAGGCCTTGTCTTTGCAGCCCAGGACAAACTCCACGCCACCTTCAAAGGAACAGATGTGTCTGTAGGTAGCTGGCTGTGTTCCAGTGTGTCTTCTTGCCTAAGAATTCCCGTCTGTGGGTTTGTAGATATTTTCTTCATTTCCTTTTGTTACACAGTCAACAAAGAAACAAACAAGTATATATGTGCTATCAGTGGCATGAAATAGTTTCTATCTTTCCACACAGATGGCACATCTTAACAAAGGGAAGATGATCTCACAGCTAAAGAGCTTTGTTATAAAAGGTACCATAGGAAAAGGAAGTTATTATTCTTAGCTATAATGCCCTAAAAAGAGGATACGCCATCTAAATGGCTGCTGAAACGTAACTGCAGAATTGCTTATAATGCTACCATCAGTTGAGGCCAAATTCAATAAAAACTCCATCCGGCATTCACACTGAGAAGATCCACATGTGCCTTTAATTCTTTTCTTTTTTTAATTTCCTGGGCTTCCGGCCCAGAAATTGAATGGAAATTTTATTTAAACCTGCTCTTGTGTATCAACTTTTGGTAAATATCAGGTTCTCGGTTGACTCACATTACGCTTTACATCCCGAGCAAAGGAAGGCTTTGAAATGAGGAGTATGTCTCTATGCACACATTTGTATGCCTTTTACCCATGCTGTCTGGGAACTGGGGTTCATGCTTAATATTTGTCGTGGCTCTGGCAAATTTTAGGGCGCCCTTGACTCCTTCTGCTGCAACCTTAATATTCAAAAGTCCATCAATCTCCTTGCCTGTATTAATCAGTTTTCATCAACACAGGATATGTCAAATGAGATGGGAAGTTACTAATTATGCGGAGAGGACCAGGAAGGGTTAGGGTGTAGGTTTCTCTTAGTCTAATTTAAAGGATCTTCTCTGCAGTGTTTCTCACTGTTGTTTTAGTGCCTCTGGCCAGGCCCCCTCCTCGCTGCCAAGCATCCTTTCTATCCCCATCAGACGGGACATATAAGTGTGTTAGAAGCAAAATAGATTGTGAAGATGCATGAAAAGGAGAGGCATGTCTGTGATGGATGTGGGCATGACGGTAATTGAACCTGCTAGGTGCAAGGCATGAGCATAATTTGCATGTAAAGTTTTTCTCTGTTCCTTCCAGAACACACCAGTTCTGCCCAATAAAACATTTTGTCACACTCAGGGGGTTTTCCAACATGTTCTCAGATTGCAAGCAAAGAGATTATTTACAGTAACCTATAACAACTGCTCCGACCATAAACCTTCCTTCCTTACCTGATCTAATTTTCTTCGTTTGCTAAGTAGAGAGACCCTAAGGAGTCCAAATATACTGCAATTTAATTCTGATGGGAAAAAGTACATTACTTTTATATTTATAGCACTGTCTCTATCTATCGTTGTCTCCCCCCCCCCCACTACTTTCTAACATAAACAACTCCACATTTTATTATTTTATTATTTTTTAAAATCCAGCCATTAATCTTCCAGGGACTAGCAGTTTCCTGATGGTAAGAGAAATGGCAAAAGTAGCCAACACTTGCAAAACTTTGGGAGTATATGCCAGAGGCTGCTGCCTGGTGCTCGGAGAAGAGAGCTTAACTATTGAAGCACTTCAGGGCTTGGGCAACCCACCTACACCTACTAGGGAAGCAATTTGTTTTTGCTTAGGGAAGGGCCACTGGGGCACGGGGCAGTCAGCTGGGAGGCAATGTCTTGCACCACATGTGAAAGGATTGGTTTCAAACTTTTTTTTTTTTTTTTTCTGGATTTCAGGCTACTTGTAACTGTCTCTTGCTAGAAAGAGAAAAAGAATGGAATTCTACTCCCTGAAAGCCCTGTTTCACATCTGATTGGCCAAGGGGGCTTTCCTGGATACACCCCTGCTTTGTTCAGTCTGCAGGAGCTGAACAGAAGAGAAAGAGGAGGAGAGAGGAATCAGGGCTGCAAACGCCCCAATCTAATTTAACTACGATGACTACGTTTTTCTTTTCTTTTCTTTTTTTTTAATATAACAGGAAAGCAACCTAATAGTAAAATTAAAACCCAATGTACAAGAAGTGTGAAATGGTAAGTCTTACGCTTGTTAGTGGTAAGCACTATACTCGGTCCTGGTCATCACATCCTTGTGAACACATTTGTGTGTGTCTGTGTAGAGAGAAGCCAGAAAGTATCCCCTCCACTCACCAATGCTGATCTTCTTGTCCCTACCTAACGCCACCATGTGGAGCACAACGTTATGTCTTGGCATTTATAGATGCCAGGGCTACTAGAAAAAAAAAAAAAAAAGTTGAACCATTTGCACAGGTGTTTGGTTGTACTAGGCGTTGAACTCCAAGGCTTGGGATTTCAAGCAAATTTGTGTTTACGTGCAACTCATCCATTCCAGTTCTATCACTTCTACAAATAAAAGTGACCAGACAGATGTCGTGGGTTCCTTGTAAAAAATTAAATCGGGATTGGTTTCATAATTTACTTATTGAAATTTTAGCAAATTAATTTCCTTCTAGCACAGTCACGAAACAAGAATAAAGTTAGGGCTAGTCTGGGGACTGAATGCTTTGAATTATTGTAAACACTGTAATCGACCACCTGGAGTTCA